AAAAATCTATCACAGTAGAACCGCAGGCATGATTTTAGAAACAAATGATCGTCTTGGTTTGAATTGTCTTTTGTTTTTTTTCGCTCCCAATATAGTCAGTAAAGGCTATAGAAGTCACAGAAGWCTGTGAATTGGTTACCCACTCTTCATTAGCGGTAGAAGATCACTAGGTTACTTCAGTGTCCATTTTATTAACAAAAAAAAACCCATTTCGTGCATTGATTTTAAGACATAGTTTCAGGCGTAATTAAACAGATGGTGGCGAGGAACCTATTCTTGACTTTAATAATGTTGCCAATCACTGCCCACTCTCCAACCATCTGCTTTGGGGGAATGGGGTTTGGAGGCTTTCTGTTTTGTGTTTTGGTTTTATTGAGAAAGTTGTTTGAATATTCCCCTCCTCAACTGACTTTAAGATGACTGGTCAAGCTGAAAAAAAGGATTTTTCACTCTCCAGGAATCATTTTCATTTTGCATTAAGCTGTCTCTGAGGAGACTTTCTTTTCCCTTTCATAATTGGCTTTTTTTCTGCTTCTTCATGCAAACYGCTGAAGTTCTGTATTAGAGAGAGAACTCCTAAATTTTATATTTTCCTCAAATATCTGGAAATAAAGCATACTCAGGCAATGGCAGCCCCTTCAGATGGTGATTTGCCACATGCATTTCTCTGCYTAGTGTCTCTGGGGCAGCCTTGGACATGCTGCTCAGCGCTCCAGGACGACGTGCAGCTGCATTAGCCCCAGCTTCTCTTACATCCTCTTTCCTTTCTTGCAGTCCTGACTTACTTGCTTTATTGTGCATTAAATGACACAAGGCTTGGCCTCGGAAGATTCTTTCGCTATTTGAGCCTGAGGAAACTGGAAGGAATATCCTATGTTTGTATCATAATCATAAAGACTATGTTGTGGTCAAAGAAGTCATACTGGCATTAGAGTAGGAGAGACAATCTAGACTGCTTTAAATKGTGTTTCGAGTTGAAGAACTCATAAATCTAGAAGCGTTATTAYGGTTATGATCTCCTTTGGGTACTTTCTGAATAGGTACTGCAAAGTGGTTCTTGGTACTGGAGAGTATTTTAACAGGCTTAATCGGAAGAAGAAACACAGTTATCATTATCAATAGTTTGCAAATTAGTCAAATATTGCACAAAATGATCATCAATGTAAAGCAGCTGCCTTCCTTGTAAAAGTGCATAGACAAACTGCACATCAGTGTAGCCAGATGTGGTTACATACTGAGGAGTGAGAGCATAGTCCATACCTAAAACTACATCAATACCCTAGGAAGCATGACACCAAACAAAAAAAAAGAATTTAAACTTAATAGTTTACTTTTTTTTTTTYCCCCCTTCATTTTATTTTTTGCCTGGAAGTTTGGAACATTTAGTTACAGGGGAATTCAAGTAGGAAGCTATAATATTTCCATATCCGTGGTTAAATATTGTTAGTCTGTCAGTAGCTTAAAATAATAAATGCAGGTACATACACTGAAACCAAAACATTGATAATGAAAACTTTTCTCCAGAGCTCAAAAGCCTAATAGCTGGAAGCTGAAGCTATGCAAATGAAGACTGAAAAGAATAAGCTTAAAGAACCTCCCTTTCTTATTAATAGGGTTCATAATTCTTAACATGAATTATGAAAGGTGGTAAGAAATTGTTCATCATTATAAATAAATAAATGTTTTAATTTTGAGGAGTTAGAAATTGTCATCTATAATTCTGGTAAGCAGCAGCTGTCAACTTCTGCTATACTAATAGTACTGTAGTATTTGTAGAGTTCGGAGATAGACTTAGCCAAGAATTATGAAACAGAAGGTTTACAATTGACTCTGAAGTTATGATTTAAAAATTAAATAATTTAATTTCTGGAATTAAATCACTGAGCACTATTAAATGAGCTCGCTGGTCTTGTTTAAAATTTTCAGTTTTGATTTATAAACTACCTTTTTAAAGTTCTAATAATTCTAAGGACTGCTACACTTGAATATTTAATTTAATAGATTTAATTAGATGATTTAACTAATTCATTTATTTTACTCGAGGTCAATACTAACCACTTTTTGTTGATTTGATACCTGTGCTACATCCTTCCAGCTTAGCTTAGTCTTGTTAAAAAACATAACCTTGGTGAATGTTTTTTTTTTCTTTTCTTTAATATAATCGATTTGTTACTAAATCTCATTTCTTTTAGCAAATAACATGAGTTCAGAACTGTTACAAATGGATGATCAGATGAACACCAGCCTGTTGGTGCAAAATTAGCCGTCCTCATTGGTCTTCTGATTTGTTGGCTACTTTTCATAGCTGGCGCAGCTGGGGAGCAGGAGGCATTTGGGGCTGATGTTTGTCTGTTTGCTCCGCAGCAGTGTCTCCCTGGAAAACTGCAGGTAGGAAAACTGGGCGTTCAGTGGCTGAACATTTCTCCTTTGTGCTGCAGTGGGAGAGTCTCCTCTGCAGCTCTGCTGCTTCACGATTGCCTTTCGGCCTGTGAGCCACTTGGATGTGCAGTTACCACCCTGCAGGTGTTGCTTAGATCTAGGTGTCTTCTTCTGTCAAAGAGTCTAAATGGTCTACCTAAAAATAATCTACTTCAATCTTTGAAATATATTTCAAACAATGCGTTGTAGTTTTTGTAAAATATGAAAAAGTCTTTTTTTAGGGGCAGTCAGACAGTTTATTGTTCTTTGTCTCTGAGTTGAGGCTCAGAGTTAAACTAGCCTGGTTCTGCTGTTGATTCCAGTATTTAAGCTTTTAATGGCCAGAGCAATATTTCCAYGAAATCAATTTCAAGTTTGTCAGATTTTCATGAATAGCCTGTGACTTATTTGGTCAGTTTGCCAATAAGTGAATCTGTTCAACCTGTCGTGCATACTGAGATGCCACCAGCCGTGACAAAAATATTTTTAAAAAATATTAAGGAAGGATAGAGCAAGTAACCACTGTTTCATCAATAATTGTCTATGCTGGAGATTCTTTTATAATAAAGAATAATCCTGATTTTGATAATTTTTACTTGTCTGGACAGACCATTTTTCAGTCGGCTCCATTGCTTCATTCAAGAATATGGTTGTGGTGCCTGAAATATGGATGACATCTAGCAAAATGGCAACTTTTTCAAATATGGGTTAGATAGAAAGATGCCAGGTTTAGCATAGCAGTATTTTGATCCTTGCAAGTCCTTCACACACATCGTCCAAGTTTGCAGTTTGYAGTTTGGTATGTATTGTGCCATGTGTTGGAACATTACTGTCTGCTTTAAGTTCAATTTTTAATGCTATTGTCAGTTTTACAACAAGGTGATGAGTTGTGCAGTTCATGCCAGCACATATGTTGTACATTTATACATGGATTTTAGACCCTCTGGAGCATATTGTGTTACTTGCCTTTTTTAGCTAAATAATAAAAATCATCATGAAACTTTTTTTAAAAAAAACTGTATCATGTAAAAGACTATACGTCTTTTAAAAGTAGTTATTTTTGGTCTGTCTGTAAGATGGCTGTCCTTTGCTTATACTTTTTACCACTATGCTCTGGTAAATGTTTAAACCATTTTTACATATATAAAATACAACAAATGGTGAAAATTTGAGAGGGAATAGAGTTAAATATTACATTTGTGTCTTGCAAAGAGCTGCACATTCATTTTATTTTCAACCTTGGATAAAGCCAATTTACACTAGGTATGCTACCTCTTTGGTTCTTTGCAATTGAAGAAGTGATTGCTTTTGGATTACTCTAATCCAAAGAAATGCTACGTGAGCAGGAATAATGTGACATGTTTCCAAGCATTTACTCCATTCTTTTTGCCCACTGTCAAATGAAGACTACCCCCTGCTTTGTGTGAAGATGTGATAGGAATTACTACATATCAGTGAGACTAACTCCTGCTGCAGGATGAGGGCGGGGGGACAGTTGCCCGTTTGCTTACCATATAATCATATCATATATATGAAATACGATTTATATACCATATAAATGGGAGCAAGGACGTTGCCCAAGGTTGTGGTGATGGAAAGGGGAAGGTGCATGTTGGTCGCTGAAGTGCCTCTGCACTCTCTGTCTTGCAGCACATTTGTGCCTCACGTTAAATCTAGGACAGTTACCGTGACCGGTGTGGACAGATCACTTGGAGAACATGGGCAGACCGCGTTAAAAATTTATTCCCAGGTCTTATAAAAGTTACATAATGTGATTGTGAGCGGAAAAACCTCCCTGCTGCTGATGACTGTGAAAGCTGCACTAGCTGCAGTTCCATTATGGTTATTACCACTACGATGGCTGCATTAGTCGTGTCTACAGGAGAATTCTGCACTACTCATGCATTTAGATCTGTTGTTGCTGGGCAAAGCTGTGGGCACTTTCTTTGCAGGAGCCAGAATCTCAAGTCTGAGCTTAGCTGTATTTGTTTTAATCCTGGGCTTGGCTACACATGATTGCTTGTTTGGAGGTGAAGGTCATGGGCAACGCGATAGGAAATCTGCAARGAGGGAGAGGTGTGTTTGTGTTGCTCTAACAACAGCCGTGGCGTCTGATGTACGAAAGGCCTGAAAGTTGTTTAAAAAAAAAMCAAACAAACTTGCTTGCTTATATATGTGTGCAACACTTCTCTGCCGCTAACCACTAGAGGTCTAATGGATGGATTTGACAACTGAAAAATTGACAGAGGAAAGGGATTTAAAGAAAAAAAAATCTGATATTTTAGTCTTTTGGAGAAAAGGATCAAATATCTCTGCCTCCAGTGCAGGTTCCAGAACTCCTGAGTACGTCCTTGGACACATGCCTTTGATATCTTTCAATTTATTTATTTATTTRTTTTACTGTACTGCAGTATCTGAGTTGTCATTTTTATGTTGGGGGGGGGCAGGGAGGAAGAAGGACAGAAATATATTTAAATATTCCTTTGCAGGTTACCTTTAAGTAACTACCAGCTAGAATTGCTGTCARGTGGAACTGCTGTTTGAGAAGATGCTCATAGTTTGTGTTTGATGTGTATTTACAGTGTCCATATATGGGATTTGGTTTTATGATAAGGAAGAATGCCAAAGAATTGCAGAGCTCATGAAAAAGTAAGTGATGGGTAAACAAGACTTTCTGTGGTTTTTTTATGTATGTATTTCTGTACATACATGCACAATATGTTACAAGGATGGTCACATCTCTCTACTTTAAACCTTTTTCTGTAGAATCTGTTGAATGTAAAATTGTCACACAGCTGCATTTTATATATTCAAGAATAAGTTGTTACGTTGCAATATTTTTTCATCTGATTTGTTACCTGATGCCTCAGAGATTTGTTTTGAAGAACTTTGGGGACTTGAAGAATCTTTGGGGACTTAATATAATTTTCAGTTTGGGGAGGTTTTTTTAAATGCTGCTGTTACTTTTTTTTTTTTTTTGGTCCTATTAATATAAGTGAGGGCAATCATGAAGACATCCTGCAATACAATTTCTGTTTCTGCATCATGACTGAATTCCTGCTTCCTCCTTTCTTAGCAATATGTACAAAATTCATTTAATTAGCTCTGACTTAGAATCATAGAATATTCAAGGTTGGAAGGGACCTCMKAGGWCATCTAGTCCAACCCCCCTGCTCACGCAGGATCACCCAGAGCACGTGGCACAGGGCTGCGTCCAAGCGGGTTTTAAAGATCTCCAAAGAAGGAGACTCCACAACCTCCCTGGGCAGTCTGTTCCAGGGCTCTGTCACCCTCACTGTCAARAAGTGTTTCCTTAAGTTCCTGKRGAACTTTTGGTGCCTCAGTTTGTGGCCGTTTCCTCTAGTCCTRTYGSTGGCCACCACTGAAAAGAGGCCGCCCCCTCCTCCTCACTGCCTCCCTTGAGRTATTTATAGACACTGATCAGACTTAATAATTTTTAGATATTTAATAAAGTTGTTTTATATAAATTCTTTAAATTTAAATTTGCAATCAAACCAGAGAAGAAAATTTCACACACACTGTGTTTTCAGATGYATTTTAGTCTTACAATATCATGGATAGTCTTTTAAGTATCACTGTTTTCTCCATACATCGCAAATTGCTCAAGACCCATTCTCCTGCTCTGCCCTCTGGTTGGTTTAGTTATTGGCTTGTTTGCAATGATCCCATTTTTGGTTATTATATTCTGAAGGAGCTAAGTCATTTAGATTGTATCAACATGTGCAGTCTCATTTTTTAGAGGTGAAATGTGAAGGCTCTAGTAAAAGGACCTGATAGGAATCAGCAAAGGTTGGATTTACCAGTTGCCTCTGCAGTGTAGGATTGGGAGACATTGTGTCACARCTATTGTGACTTTTCTATTAAAGGAAAGGAAGGAGAATGAGGTAAGTCCAGGTCTTTGTCATCCCAAGAAAAACTCCAGGAGACTGACACAGTCAAGCTGGCAGCGTTAGGTACTAGCAGAGCTAGGTAAAGGCACTGTCCAAACTGGGAGTCTCTCCTTTTCAGCTCACCTCTCCCAGTCCTGATAGCCCGGTTGACAAAAGTGTTTCTGTAGCCAGAAACATGCTGAGGAAGGGACATCCATTCTCATGGCCAACGTGCCTCATGCCTGGTCGTGCCCTGCAGTCCATGCGAGGCCCGTGCTCACGCACTGAGATCCATAGCAAAGCACTTCAGCCRCTCACGTGCAAGAGAGTATTCATTGCAAAATACGAGCTGGGAAATTAGTCAGGTTTCCTTTATGTCTCATTTTGAAAAAAATACCTGCTGCTCTACATTTTGCAGTGACAAAACATTATGAAATACAGACTGTGACAYTGGTGGTTTCTTGGTTTTGCTTTTTTCGTTGGCGCTGTGTCTCCTACAGCTCCAAAATGAGTCAGTTGTGACCCAAGAAATAATTGATGGGGATGAATTTACAGAAATAAGCAATGAACCCTAGGAAGTCCAGGTTTTTGACAGCTAATTTTAGTTAACTAGCTCAAGTTGCAGTTGGTGGTGATTAGGTGCTCTCAAACTGGTAATTTACTACAATAAAGACTAGTTTTCAGAGGATTCATGCTATTGTAAACCGTGTGTAGTGGTTTATAATAGCAGTGTTGCATATAGATAAAAAACACCCTGTAGCTCAGCCAGTTGGCTGTGTGTTATAATTCTCAGCATTCTGCAATAATARTAAAGCAGCTGGGGCAGGAAATTGGTCATTTGCTAGTAGTTAATGACTGATTTGTGTGTGTTTGCCATCCTCCACCACCAGTAGAACTAAATAACACTATAAATTCTCTCTCTGAGTATAGAAATTTTGAGTGATTTACAGCAATTTAAGAACATGTATCTCATGCTTTACCAAGCTCTTTTTAGTATAGATCTTTTAATATGTGTGTTTTAATGCAGTTTTAATATTGATGGGGGGAAATGAAAATACTCAAGTCTTGTTTAATTATGATAAAGTAGTAGCAGTTAAAATTCATCTTTTTGTTGTTTTTGTCTTGTATATTCTCCTCTCACCTCCCACTTTCAGCCTAACTCAACAGGAACAATTCAAAGCACAGCAGGGCACAGGAACAGGAGCATCCCCAATGATCATGAATTCTACTAATAACAAAGAAGTGGATATCTTACGGATGCTTACCAAAGCCAAAGATGAGTATACCAAGGTGAGACTTGCTCTCTATAAAATGAGGACATTTTCTTTCAGTGATAAAATGAGGCCTACCTGCTTAGCACTTTACATTATAACACATAATAGTTTTTCGGGGGTTTTTTTTTAAGAGGTTTCCTCAAAGTAGAACTGGCAGTCTGATTTCAGACAGTGTACCCTGTCTGTTGTATGTCAGAATATCCTAGAGATTCAAGAGAAAACAATGCTGTGAATAAAAATTTMTGACAGGTGTATGATGTGTATGATAATTTATTGTTACTCTCTAGGAGATGAAAAGAAATGGAAACTTGAGGCATGAATGTTTCTGACTTTGTTTTTGACCCATAGAGCTCCTGTCCTCCTTTCTGATTGAATAGTACTTTAAAGTTCTTTGAAGTTGTATCCTGTTTCTGGGTGAAGTATTCAAACCCTGTGATAATTTCAGTGGTTTTCATAGATAACTCTGTGRAAGACCTTTACTGTTGGAGAGACTGCTCTTAATTGTGGCTGTTAGCTAGTTTTGGACACTGATGCAACCATAGGATGATCTCAGCTCATGGACTGGTTTGGTCTTCTGAGGCTTCTAAACATGGACGTAACTAATGGACTAATAATGTTCTGTATTATTGAGCAATCAAAAAAAGCTTACTTTAGGGAATAAAAATATAAAAATTTTAATTATTCATATATATGTTGCGGATGTTTTCAGAGCCTATAGTTCCTCCTGCTGCTTCCTGTCTTTCATAYGTATTATCATGTAATAATGAGCTCATAACATAAGTGTTTTGAGTCTAGAAATATATACATCTTAAACATAAACAATTTGGAGAAAAAAATGTTTTTCTAAAATGTGGCTAATGAGAAGAACCTCATAAAGGTTATAATAGACTACTTTAATTATGGTGAAATGTAGTTGTTTTTCTTGGAGTATGGTTTATTTCAAAATTAAGACCTTTATATTTTCTCTAAGAGGTGAATTGCATGTTTCATAGCGGACAAAAACACCCTTAGAAACTTGTATCTCTTCTCTGTTTTAATATTAAATAAGTATTTAGTGTTTACATAAAAGAGTATGATTTGATATATTCTGAAATGCTCAAGGATTTTTCATTAACCAATTAAATAAATACTCTAACTAGAACGATGGCTAAAATCTGTACCATGTACTATGAGAAAGATATATGGTAAGCCTAAAGATAATTATCTTACTCATCTAGATGAACACACCAAAAATCAAGACAGAGGAAAGACAACACTGAAAGACATAGTTAAGCAACAGATTTACAARCAAAGGGGGAAAAAAAAGAACACACATATCTCTTGTAAATTTGCATTTTATCCATACCATCTAATTTTTCTGCTTAAAAGTAGTTGCTAAGGAAATAACATGAGAATTTCCTCTTCATCCGGGACATGAGTAATAGGAGTATTTGACCTCTTAAGGACTAGACCTGTGTTTCTTCTCATTTTGTTAGTAATGCAAAATTAGCAAGAGTACATGAAATAAAGGCAATGAGAATCACTTTTGCATTTCATGTCAGTATGTTTCAGTCATGCTTTTTGGCTGCTTAATGACATAGACATCCTTGCCAGGGTATATGTCTCATGACTTACGATGCAGTTGTGCTGAAATTGGTCATGAAATCTGTTGTTCTCCTTTCTGAATTCAGTGTGGTTTCAGAAAAGAGGGGGTTTTCAAGTTTTTTAAGCCACAGAATAAGAGCATCAGTTTTCAAAGCATCTAACGAGTTTGCTGTATTTTAAGTCCCACAATAAGATTTGGGGACTGTAAGTAACTTCAAAGATTGTAGCCCATTCCCAAAAACAACTTGCACATTCAGAGGTTATGGGAGAAAAAAAGAAATGCTTCCCTTCCTTCTCCCTTTTTTCTTTATCAGTGGAGCTTTAAGCTGCTAAATCATCAAAACATGCTTGGGGGAAAGGAAAAAAAAGAAGGTTTTAATGTATTCTTGTGTGGTATTAGCAGACCTCATAATAGTAGCTGGAAAGATAAACAGTTCAAGAGTTGATGTTGAAATGCAGCATGATGAAATGTGCTGCCCTAACTGTTGTGCATTTATTGCACCATCTGTCTCTTAATCTGTTGTTCAGAGGACATGATAAGGTGGACATCCTTTGGTTTATTGATGTGCCCGAAATAACTGAAGCTTACTTGTCCATTACTAAGGGTGCACAACGTTTGATATGAGCATCACTTCTGGCAGTGAGCAGGATTTTATTTAAGTTTTTTTGACTAGTTCTTCACTGTCCTTCAGTAAAGTGTTCCAGTGACACTGACCTGCTCAAACAGGAATGTAATTTCTAAGTTTTTAGGTGTGTGCTTCTGTTTTGATTTGTTAGCTGTAAGAAAGCCTTGATACTATCTTACCCGCCTCCAAAAATTCTATCTTTCCAGAGGGCACTGTGTTATAATTGCCCTAGAGGATGCAGAACCTATGTTCCTGTTCCTAAACAGTCTATATTTATGGTGAAGAACCTATTTTYCTATTCCTAAACAGTCTGTATTTGTTCTTGTTGTCTCATGTAAGCAGAGCTTTCTCTGGCAATCCTTGCTCTTTGTTTTTCTTTGCTTGTTTCTTTTTGGTTTTGCTTTTGTGAAAATTCTTTCCCTCATTATTCCTGTTCTTCAGAGCACTTCGTACACCTTTGTGTGACTATATACTGATGTCTTCTTATCGCTGCTTGATGTCAGTTAGATAAAAGTTCCTGGTTTCCAGGGCCAACTAGCTCTGCACTTCTTCTCTGACAGCTTCAGAGTTCTTGATGACTTTCAGCATAGTCCTCCATCTACAATATTCTTCCCATACAGTCCTGGTTGACCTTTCCATGTATCAGTCCTTTTTGCATCTCCTCATATTTGATAGGTCTTCGTGGCTCGTATTTTCTATGAGAGTCAAGCAACTGCTCTAGAAGAGATGGAGAGGTGACACGGTATCAGTTTCAGGAGAACTCCAATGCTAAGCTACAATACTTGTCTGTTGTCTGTGTTTGCTTTGACAACATCCTCTGCAGTCTATACATGGTTCAGGTAGATGATGAAATACACTCACAAGTTTCAGACAAACAGCAAATATTTTGTTGCTTGGAACTTGTTTTGCASTATTAGATGGGTAAAGAGACTTTGGGGAAAATAAAATACTTCRTTCTGGGTCAATTATTGCAAAGTTTTTGTTCAGAGAGTGGAAATATTGTAGTTAGGTTTAAATAGATTACCATGTTGAATGTGACCTACTCACATTAGCCATGATGCACACACTGTGAGATTTTATATTTGACTTAGATTTAATTTTCTTGTGAAGCTCTCCATTGCTGCAAATTCRATGTCTTGTTTGTCATGTTTTTTTTCAAAGCTAGTGCTTGAGGCAGTTTCTCGCTTTATGCAGTAGTGATACAACAGGAGAGAAGATGCAAGATTTAAAAAAAAAAAAAAAAGATAAACTGTAAGATGATTGTCTCTGAATGTTTTAAAGTTATTTCTGAGAGCAGCGTTTGAACCAGAAATTGCAATTGCTGTACAATAGAAGAGAGTCAAGTGCAACAGAAGAAGGCGAAATGCCAATGGAACTACACTTCTGCTTTGTGAGAGTATGTCTTCAGAAAGTCGTGGCAGAAGGTTGTCGCATCCAAACACTCACAAGATAATTTTGGAGCAGAAACTCAACAGAATCTCAGAATCACTGGAACTGGAAGAAACCACTGGAAATCATCTAGTTCAACTCCCCTGTTCAAAGTTAGATCAGCTAGAGCAAGTTGCTTAGGACCATGCCCAGTCAGATTTTGAATGTCTCCACAGATGGAGATTTCACAGCTTCCCTGGACATCCCATTTGRTCACCTTTAATTATTATTTAAAAATAATAATAAAAAGCTTTTACCTTTTACTTATGTTTAAATGTAACTTCCTGTCTTCCTATATACCCTTTTTCTGCCTGCTGCCTCTTTCCTTTCAGTATGCATCACTGAGAGTCTAGCTCTATCTTCTTTTTACCTTCCCATCAAGTTTCTATACACAGTGATAAGCTCCATCAAGCCTTCTCTTCCCAAGGCTAAACAATCCCAACTCTATCAGTCTCTCCTCATCGGAGTGATGCTCCAACTCCTAATCATCGTTGTAGTCCTTTGCTAGACCATCTCAGGTATGTCCATGTGTGTTGTGCTGGGGAGCCCAGAACTAGACACAGTGTTCCAGATACGGTCTCACCAGGGCTGAGCAGAAGGGAAGGATCATCTCCCTTGACTTGCTGTCAATTCCCTGCCTCACATAACCAGGGCTGCTGCTGGTCTTTCCTGCAGGGGCATATTGCTGGTTCATGGCCACCTTGTCCAGCAGTGCAACCAGGTCTATCCGCACAGATGCTTTCCAGCTGGTAGATGCCCAGCCTCTACTGGTACATTCAGTTATTTCTCTGCAGTTTCCCATTGTTGAATATCATGAGATTCCCGTTGGCCTTTTTTTTCATCCTGTCAGGGTCCCTTTGAATGGTAACACAACCACCTGGTCTGTATGTCTCTTCACCCACTTCTCTATTGCCTTGAAAGCCCGCACCTCACACCCTGTGTCTCATCATCCGCATCATTAATGAAGTTATTAAACGGGGGATATCTGGAGGATACCACTAGTGACTGGCCTCCAGCTGGACTTCATGCCACTGCTCACAACTCTGAGCCATTTTGTCAGCTGTTTTTCAGTCCACAACACTGTCCATTTATATAGATTTTATTTCATCAGCTGGTCTGTGAGGATGCTAAGGGAGACTTTTGCAACCCTTGTAAAAGATACGCAGCATCCACTGCTCTTCCCTCATCCACTGACACAGTCATCTCATGACCTGATGGAAGACTGTCTTATTGGTCTTCTATAAATCCATGCCAACTGCTCCCAGTCACCTTCTTGTCCTTACTGTGTTTGGAAGTCACTTCCAGGAGTATTTGCTGCATCTCCTTCCCAGGGAAAGAGGTGGGGCTGGCCAGCCTATAGTTCCCTGGATCCTCCTCCTTGTCTGTCCTGAAGATAGAGTGACATGTACTGTCTTCCAGTCCTCAGGAACACCCCTCCAGTTGCCATGACCTTACATAGATAACTGAGAGTCATCACGGAGCCACAGCCAATTCCTTGAGCTCTCATGGGTGCATCCCATAGACTTGTGTGCACCCAGTGTGTTCCCTTAAGGTCCTTCTTATTGTGTCAGACTTACCCACATGTCTCAGGGGCTTGGGGTTCCTGAAGGCAGTTCTTAGGAGGAAAGGTGGAAGGGAAGAAGGCGCTGTGTACTGTGACCTTTGGGACCAGGCCTTCTCAAACCCAAACCCAAGAACTTCTCAATTTCTTCTCAAGAACTGAAGATTTGTTTCACCAAACCATCTGGTTTACCACATTTTACAATTGTGGTAGGTTTTAGAAATGGATGCTACAGACACCACTGGATATTAGGAGGGGAGAGGGTGTCTAGTTATTTTCTCACCTAACAACTTTGAACGCTTAAGAGTTTATCATAAAGCTCGAGAAAATATACTGGGGCTTTCATAGTCACATAGCAATGGCTCTGCTTCATGAGAAAAGCAATCCATCTAGTGCAGTATTAATTAACGCATAATACTGGATTCTTTGCAGGAAGGAACAAGAAATCAAAGTTGATCATTCTATACCAACCATCTGCAAAGTGTTTTTTTTCCCCTCAGGACTCATTAGTCCTGAGGCATAAAACTTAGACTCATCAAACTTAGTTAATTAACTATGAATATTCTTGTTAGATAGGATTAAATTTTTATTAAATAATTCTTYAAAAATCCTTCCAATTTATTGGTATCAACAATATCTTGTAGTAGTGAATTCAACTGTTTCACTGTTTCCTTTCCAAGGAAAACAGCATTCCTTATATACTTGTTACTTTTTTAGTTTCATCAACTATCCTCTTATTTTTGTACAACATGAATGAGACCATCTGATTTTTGTACAATATGAATGAGACCATCTGATTCACTTTTTCTTACCCCATTTATTCTTTCTCTGTGTCCTTCACACAGAATTCTCAGTGACCCTTTTCTAAATTAAATGATGGCCTTCCATCTTCATATATCAGTCTTTTCTTGCCCTGACCAGTTTTAGTCTCTRCTTGATCTGTCTCCTTATAGCTGATTAGTACTGCTGTGCTTGATAAGGAAACACACTGATTCTACTAATGCAGATTAGTAGAATCTAATCTTAGATCTAAACATGATCTAAGCATCATTTTAATTGTTTTTTTTTCCATATGGTATATATATCCTCAAAGTTCTCATATTGGGGTGTATCTTCATAAAGGAGTTGTTTAGGAATTATAATGCCATTTTTTTAAAAACAAAAGTCATTAAAAATGTTATTTATCTGCTCAAGGTGTCAGATTGACTTTGGGCTAAGTGTGGGAAAACTAAAAGATAAGGAAGAGACCTGGGATTTAAACCAGGAGGGGAGATCTCATAAACAGGAAATGTTGGAGCCAAGTCTTTATTTGTGCATATGCTTTGTATTTTTTAAAAAAATACTTTCTAGTTTTTCAGTAGTGTAACTTCTTATAAATGGTGCTGTGTAACTTCTTATAAATGGTGTTGAAACTGATAATTTTGTTTTTTAAATACCTGACTCTGGATTTTACTATGCTAGAGAATTAAGGGAAAAGATACTGTCTCAGTTACTCAAAAAATACTTTTTTTCTCTGTTGCAGTGTAAGACCTGCTCAGAGCCAAAACAAATGACCAGTTCCTCTGCTATCTATAACAACCCTAACCTAATCAAACCAATTCCAGTGAAGCCTAGTGAAAATCAGCATCAACGAGTGTCTCAGCAAGGCAAGGTAAAACGTTCTACTTGTGTTCTGCTTTGTGCTGCTGTAACCCAGTAGCCATTTAGGAAATGCTTATTTAGGTCAGAAGGTCAGTGCAATTATTTGAGGTGGAACTTTGGTAAGGAATTATTTTAATGCAAAACTGCACTAAAGACACTCCTCCCCATACCAAATGACATGGAAGCATTAAAATTACAGGCATACTATGCTGACGTAACAAAGAAATTCTGGTCTTTCAATTTGGGGATGCTGCTTTGGTCCCAGCTAGTCCAGTCAGTTGTTAGACCACAGTTTGTTTTCTTTATGTGATTTTAATTATTCTAAATACAGAGAAGTGCTTTGGTATACCTTCAAGTTGCATAGCCTTGCAAAATGACAACAACTGAATCCAGTCAGCCATTACAGTGGGATGTACAAGGAGCAGCACACCTCCACACAAGGGCAGAAGGTTTCTCTCTCTTACCGATACTACAATAGTGGCTGAAAGGGAAAAGATGTTTTTCATGGTGTCTGAAGTGAAACTGCTGCCATTTCTCAGATTCACTGTTTTTTACCACCGAAGAAGCTTGACAACTGTTTCCTTGCCCTTCCTGCGTCACAGTTATTAAGACTGTGAGAAAAGATGAAAGCGTTGCTTTCCCAGCGCTTGCTTGAATATTGCAGGCTAAGTTTTGTAGGCACTTCATGGGGCTTAGCATGCAACAGAGAACTATGTTTGTTTTTCTTTCTCCCTTCACAGAATACAGATTCTGAACCACAACACTTGTCTCTGACAGCACTGTTTGGAAAACAAGAAAAGCCAGATGTCTCAGAACCACATAGTAAACAGCACCAAGAGAATCTTCCTGTGAGGCAGGGGGTGGTACGATCATTGTCTTATGAAGAACCTAGCAGACATTCACCCTCTGCAGAGAARCAGCTTTGCCCAGCAATTCAGAAGCTCATGGTGCGTGGAACAGACCTACATCCACTTGCTGAGTTTCCTGAGAACCGTCTCTGTGAAAATGGCAATATCCACCCTGTGGGTGAGGCTTTCACGGGACTCTTCCAACCTGTGGCTTCTCATGGCATTGCAACATCTCATGTAGTCCAGGATACTGCTGGCACTCAGAGCTTATTACAGAAATTACAGGGCCCATCGGGATCAGTCCCTAAAGTGGACCCCAGTGCAACAGGACCTGTAAGCTCAACAGCTTCAGTCTTCAGCAGGACTCCTGCTGCTGCTGGAGCCCCAGCAGCACAGGTAAACAGTCTCACCCAGCCACCTTTGGTGTACTTCAATGGTTCCCTTCCAGGCCAGACTGTGGAGTCTCACCCCGTTGGTAAAGAACAGTCCAAACTTCCTAGACAGACACTTTCTCTCTCTGGCAATCAAGCAACCAATTCTGGGGTGATTTCACCTCAAGAGCTACTGAAAAAACTCCAGATAGTGCAACAAGAACAGCAGTTGCACGTATCCAGCAGACCCACCTTGGCAGCTAAGTTTCCTGTTGTTATACAGAACGCCAGTACACTGAAACCACTGGATTCCTGGATAGACAAGGCACCAGGGGTGGAAAAACAGAGCTCTCTCTTTCAGGTAAAGTAACTGTAGAATTAAAAAAAAAAAAAAAAAGGAAAAACTTTGGGTTTGTCTGCCTTTTCATCTTGGAGTTCTATAAGGATAGTTCCCAATCTTTTTGACCAGTATCTCCCCATATTATCTTACACACTCCATTCATTCATAATTTTATAGTGACATCAAGTAATTTCTCTGTTGCCAAGCTCTGATATGGTAAATACCGAAGGATGAATCTCTTGCACATGAACAGTGAGCCTCGTGTGCGATTGCAGAATGCCTAAATGCTTCCCCAGGTGCACTGTCTTTGTTAATAACTTCATTTTCCATAGCAGGTGCTACACTTGAGTGTCTTCCAATGTCCTGTTTTGGGATGAGCATCTAAGCCCCTTTTACCTCCCTTTGTTGTGGACAGACTATCTCCAAGGCCTGTATTGTACTGGTAATGAGAAGTTACTTGCCCAAGCAAATGAACATTCACCTTTTCAGTGTAAAGTTTAAAAGCTGCTTTTATCCATTTCAATTTCTGAAAGAGTTGAATGAAAAACTACAAAACGTTTCAGCTTGTAGCAGAAATCCTCCTTATTGTAGAAAGCTGATCCAAGAAGCTGAAATGGCTACTTAACAACTAACAGCCACATCTTTTACTAGCACTGATAGGTCAAGATTTCTAATTCTGTAAGAGTGATCAAAAGATGATGATTACCTTATAGCAAATAGCCATCTTTATTTTTATTCTGTGAATCAAAGCAGCACAGCTTTGAACTTTTGTGAAGAGGTTTTTGGTGGATTAGTCYATCAAATTATTCAGGAGCAGTTGCTTACAGATGGGTATCTGGCTTCTCAGTGCAGTACTAATGAACAAAAAGAGGATCCAGAGTCACAATCATTTACTTTTTTGTTACTTCGGGAGATTGCTGTAAATGAAAGAAGTTGTCTGGTTCACCAGGAAATGTACTGACAGCATGGAGACATGAGCCATTCCTACTCAGAAGGTGAATGGGAAGTGAGGCAAGTGCTATCCTCTATGTTATAAGCCAGTGCACAGTAGTAAAACATGACCAAAATATTGAGGTATTTCTGAATGAAAGAATTGGTATAGATGCTGATAGCACTTCATTTGTGTATATTTGTAAAAGATAACAATGTGCAGACATTAGCTGCAATRCGGAAAGAGAATGGAATTGTGGAAAGGGAGTCACAATTTCAGTTATTTTGCTGCAAGGGTACAAACAGAACAATGGCTTGAGAAAAGAAAAGTGCTTGCTGTGTCAAGTCTCATTCAGTAGGTTATTGCTGCAAGYTTGCCTGGAAAAATAAAAAGAAAAGAAAGCAAGGAAGGAAGTCAAGGAAGGAGACTCTTGATCTTAATTTCAGTATCTGAGACCAGACCAAGAAGATTCATCCTGGTGGGGACGAGTAGCTTTACTGACTGATACAACCACAGCTGTTACCAAAACAGTATTAGATGCAGTTCCTTTGACATATTCAGAATTGTTTATAAGACATTATAGAAAACTGATCAAAAGGTGACTAGTTCAGGACCCCTAAAGCTTTGCAGTGAGGAAGGAAGGCTGCTTTTGCATACAGCAGTCTGTCAAAAAAAAAAAAAGCCTAAAAATGAAGGAATGAGTCTTTCTTCTGTAGAATGCCATGAATTAGCCAAATTAAATATTTCTACTCTTGAAAAATTTTAGAAGATAGATATGTGAAACAACATTTAAAACCATCGTTGATCTTTTTATAATAGCATCCTTGCTGTAGACCACAGGCTTAAGTGCTGTCCTGCCTGCAGACAGACATCTTGAGTGAGATTGAATTGGCACAAATGTATCTGCAYATGCTTATGCAAAATTGATTGAAGCAGAGCCTGACAACAAATGCTGCAAAAGGTTTGTTCTCTATAATTATTTATCTGGTATTCTATCTTTTACTATAAGTTAGTGTGCAGGAAAAGTGAATTTTAAAAGCCTAACAGACCTAGAAAGGTACCTGGACAGTGTCACTTAGGTTGGAAAAATGATTTTAAAGGAACACCCGAGATCCATCAGCAATAGTAAGAAAATAGAAGCAATAGTCTTTTCCACAATTGACACATTACAAGCCCAAATTTAAATTGGCTTCTGCTGCATCTCCATATGGTATAAGAGCTGTGATCTCCCACGTGGAAAGGAAGAAACCAGTCACCAAAATAAAATTTTAGCAAAAGCTAAAGAATAATACTCAGAAGCATTCAGTCTGATGCCAGCCCTATTCTGAGAAGTGTTCCTTATGTGGACAATGAGCAACATGTGCTAAAGCTGCAATAAAAATGTATTACTCTGCATTAGACTTTAAAACATGGGCTTAAAATTAGACATGAGTTGTCCTGATTATAGATAACACGGGTGCTTAAGTGTTTCTGTTAATCGGTGTTATGGTTTTAAAAGGACTTACAATAACCTTGACACAAATTTATCACTTCTGTTTTAAAAGGCCACTTATTTTGCAGACAGTCTCTTTTCTCCGAGTATTTTCTATCAGCAATATATTTTACACGTCATACATTGTTTCTGCTGAATCTGTGTGGTACACAGTATCTTTGGTGGAAGAGTCACACCATTACCTATAGATTATCTTGACTGCATTTTCAGCATGAGACTGTAAAGATGCACAGCAGTAAGGCAACTAGTAAGTTAAACCTGTCATGGAAGATTATGTAAGATTCTGCTGTTAAACATTAGCTAAATTTTTCTAAATTAAACTTAGAAAGATGAAGCAATGTTAGCACCAGCATTGTAGCCAACAACTGTCTTTCAAAGTTCCCAAACCGTTTGTAGCTTAGATGTTCTTAGTTTTAAATAATGCTCACTAAAAACAGCTGGAGCCCCAMAGCATCCCCTCTGCCTGCTGATGCTCCAGAGAAGCTGGTGGTGCATGTGGAATCGCACACGGTTAGGGAGCAAAGGTGGTTGCCACMTTGCATTACAGGTCACTTCAGTGCCACCAGCAATGCAGAAGAGCAAAAAGGAGAGGTCTTAGATCCTTAGATCCTCCTGCAGAGAAGGAATGTTACATACTGCAGGTTTGGCATTGTTCATATTTCCTTACTGCACAGCTCATGCAAGGCTGCTGCTCTCATACTGGTGATTCAGAGGTTGAAGTGTTGCCTTGATATAATGCTGGGGATGATTCAGAAGAAACTGGGAAGAAGCTCAAGAGAGATTCTGTGAGAAAGTTGTTGTTGAGTCGCATTTTGGAAGGGTATTGTGGCCATGTGAGAAATTACTCAAAGCTGAAAGATTAGCCCAAAGGCTCCATATCCCTCCTAAGCATTTTCAGTGCTTTCAGCAAAACATGGTATCAGAGGAACTGCTGTAGGAGCACCAAGATCAGCTCCCAGATTTTCTCATGGGATTCTCATCCCACTGATTGAAGAGTAGGTAAACTAAATCTTAACAGAAAATTCCCGCTTRCATTTTGAAAAGAAATGTTTATGTAAAATTTTTCAAAATGGCAGAAGCTGTGAGCGCAAGTGTTAACAGAAAGTACATTTGAAAGCTTTCGCAGAGAAACAAGTACCGTGTGCTGAAAAATGAGAAGAGTAAAGACTGCTTGGAGGCAATTGGACGTGTAGCAGTAACTTGCAGATATTAGCCGTGTCAGCAGTAGATGGCAGTGTTGCTTACATGTGCTTGGCAAGTCCAAGCAAACAGCTGCACCATCCACAAAAAACAGGTAATTTTTGAGATCTCTGCTAAACCGTAACATGTGTAGCTGCTTGACAGTTGTAATTATATGTTATTAAGAGCCTAGCTGATCTCAGGTTTTGTTTCTACCAGACTAGAGCAAGATGGCTTTTGATTTCTAAGGATGTATCGTTTAGGTCTTTGGCTTTCTCAGATTCAGCTGGGCTGGTGGGACAGGTTCTCACCACTGTTCAAGGGCAGGAGCTTTCGTGGAGGTTCCTACCCTTCCTGAGCACTCAGTAGAAGCATTCATTAAATCATTTTAGGAAAAAACAGCTGTTTTAAGCTAACTTGGCCAATTTTGCTTGCATTGAATTAAAGGCAAGTCCCTAGAACTGCATGGTTGAGTAGAACAGAAGTGCTATGATGAGTGCCTGGAGGTAGTAAATCTTCCTCAGGCACATTTGGAGGAATACATCTGTGCAGAACTTGAATGTCTCACTCCACAGAACTACAGCACTTCAGATGTACATCGGTTCTTTTCTAAAAAGATTTTTTTTTTTATCAAGTATAGATGTGTATATATATATATATATATGTACTGCTTAAAGGATACCTGAAGTGAACTAAAAACTAATTCGGGAGCATTGTAACAGACTTCATTTCTGTTATGGACTATATGTCATGTGGTCATAGACAAGTTGTGGGTAGGTAGTCATTTTCAAGTAATACTTTAGCTTTGAGAGAAGAAAAAAGCAGTATTTGTCTAAAAAGTGTTATTATTGGGAGATCTTCACATGTAAGTAACATGTAACTGTAAATGGGATTCTAATTCCACACATCTTTCCCATCCCTCTAATCTTTCTCCTTCCTTACACTTAGCATAAATCAGGACAAGATCTAGATCCTTGTTGATCCTTTATATTTCTTTTCATATTGTGCTATAATTAACAATATTCAGAAATATCTTGAGCAAAACAATTGCAAACAGGGATAAAAGATGCTCCAGAATACAAATTTTCCTTAATGAATAGCATTGTTTTGCACAGGAATGAGATAACCCCTCAGAAGAACGAAATTAGGATAAACCTTTTTTTTCTTTTTTTAATTTTACTTAATTTCACTTCAAGATTCAAATGTAACCCAGGAGTCAGACAAAATTAAATTATTTGGTATCCTTTCACTTTTGCATAGTAGCAATAAGTCATGTTCCAGTCCCAAACAGTGGAGCTGGCGTGGGCTCATACTAATTCTCCTTAAGTTTTATTCTTTAAAGGAGAAGATTGGTTACTTGAGTAGTAAAGAGATAGCTGGCTAAGGTTTATTATAGAGTTACCGGGAGAATATTCGAATTTCTAAAAGCTTACTGAATAAATTTTCCATGATGGCTTGTATCTCCTGCTACTGCTAGCCCTGCATGTCTTAGAGATCCAAAATGTGTCACAAAATTTGAAACCTTTTTGACACGTAATCTGTGTTCAGACTGGTATGGCTATAATACAGAGGAAACTCCCAGAACTACAGAAACATCTGTGTTTTCCTTTCTTTTGAGGGCCTTTTTTGATTTTGTGACCTGAGTGTGAGCTAGGCAACTGTGGATGAGTTCTCCTTCTGCTGATGCCACCAGCTCGCTGTGGCTCTTTGGATAAGTCATGGTATCTCTAGTTCCCTTCCACCCCTCCTTAGGTAAAATGAGGATATAAGAGTAAAAATGATAGAAAGCTCAACAAATTAAAATGAGGTTATTTTAAGTAGTTTGGAAGTTATTACTGGAAAATACTTTTTAATATTAGGTATAAAGTGTATGTCTTCAATAATTGCGTTTGTGTGTTAGCAAGTATATTATCAAAGATAGGACTTAAGTAGTGTACCTGTGTCRAAAATTTCGCTGTAGCATCTCCAGAGTGTTGCTATTTAATAAGAGCATAATTTCCGTAATACCATGTTCTAGCACTCAGACTATTTGCCTATCAGCTAGACTCAATCACATTTGAATATATTTCTGCCTTCTCGTGTTGCATGGAAGGCCTTTTAGTTTGGAAATGGAACATATAAGTGGTCCTGAGTGGGAGTTGTCTAGACTCCTTTCGGCAGCAGCTTGTGTGCCTCTTATCGCTACTGCATTTTGCTGCTTTCACCCTCCTTATTCCCATATAAATAAGAAGACAGGCTGTTTAACTGCTGGCTGTGCTTTCACTCGGACAGGTGATCTCCCCGCAGCGTATCCCTGCCACCGTGGCGCCCACCTTGCTCATGTCCCCCATGGTGTTCGCGCAGAGCGCAGCGGCCGCTCCAGCCAAAGGCAGCGAGAGCGGGCGCCTGGCGGCAGCAGCAGCAGCAGCCCCGGACCCTGCCGCCGCCCCGGCCAGCCTCCTCCTGCCCCTGCAAGCCCCAGAGCCGCCCGCGGGCAGCAGCAGCTCCGTGACCAAGATGCAGCTGCAGGAAACTCTTGTGCACCTCATCCAGGTAGTGTGCAGACTGCTCCCGCTCTGCCTGACGCCCTCACTGCTGCTTGGCTTTACGCGCCTGTTCCCCGAATTGGTTGCATCCATCTGTCCAGGGCCTGTGTGAATAATTAAAATGCACGTTGGAGTTGTGCTGCTTCTGGTTGTGTGTTAAGGGCGCGCTAGGTCGTGGGGCAGGAAGGTGACAGCCTCTCTCTGCAAACTGCTGGCTTAAATGCGATTTGATTAATGGATGTAGTTCAATGTTCAGGAAAGCTAATAAATTGGAAGGAAAAGAGCAAAGATGATTGAAGGCTTTAGAAGGTTGGCCTATGAGCCAGAGAGATATTTGTTATATCTTTAGCTAAGGATAAATAATGGGTGATTATCCTAGCTGCCAAATATTTTCAGAGATGCATGTTAAGGGTAAAAGGAATCCAGATGGGAAATGAAAATCACAGAACGAGCGTGAGGAAAATTAAAATATGGGTTAAGTAATCTAAAAATATATTAGTTCAGTCCATTCTATGCAGTTCTCTGGTTTAAGTGCTGAAATTCTTTTTGATACCGTTACTCAGATTTAAATATGACAGAGCATTAAGAGTGTTATATAAGAGGCAACTGTTTACTGATGTGGGATGGTGTGACTGATTATGTTTTCTTTGACTTCTCATGTGATTAATACCTAGAAGAATAAATTTTGAGGTTGTAGAACTAAAGAACTCAGTATAAGCAAAAGGAATTAGAGACAGGTTTAGGATTCCAGTTTGTAGGCCAGAACAATAAACCTGTATGACTTTGGAATAAAAATAAAAGTTATTATTGGAATGTTGAAGTGACTCATTTAAAATTCAATTTAACTTACAGACCCAGAAAGATAATAGTATCTTTAACAATGAGAGACTTTTCTCATTTATTTCTCATTCATTCTCATAGAATTCTCATAGCATTTGACCCTGCTATTCCTGGTCGTAGTAAGGGTTAAGCAAGTTTTCTGGAAATTATTTGCTGTTTAATACTAAGATACTGACTGACCTCACCTGTTCTCACCTGTTATTTTCCGATTTGTAACTGCAATCTCAGATGCTTCTGATTTTCCTCAAGGAGTATCCTGATTTTAATTATCTTCATATATTCATGTGAGCTACTTAGGACATTCGTTCTTAATTTGAGTTGACCAGTTCTTGCAAAATGATCTTCAGAAGGAAAAAGTTAAACGAGCATCAGAGCGAAAGGAGCAGCATCAGTTAGGAGCATTAAGTCTAAAAGAGCTAAACAAGATGCAAGGATTTGCCCAGGTAGGATTTAGAAGAGGATCAAAGACCAGAATGTATCACTGTTCTTTCAGACATCCTTGGCATTATTATTGAAATAATGGAGGAAACTACTTAAAGAAACCCCCAGGTTAATTGAGAGTAATGGAAAGAAATTACAAGGATGTATTATCACTGCAGTATCCTAAGAGTAGTTTGTTCCAGTTAAATCCACAAGTCTAGAGAATCTGCTCTCCATGTATTCATTATTTCTTACAGAAATAGAATCAARTTTGCCACATAATTTATATTCTCATATACCAAAATTCTTGCAGGGCTACTAGCAAGAGCTGTCATATATTGTTTTTGCAAGTCATATATTGTTTTTGGTGATGGAAGCAAACCTTCCTACACCTGGCTTTCTTATATAGAAAAAGGTTGGAAAATATTTGTTCCATTAAATGGGAAGAACTTTTCATCTCTTTAWTAAAGAACCTCTATCTTGCAGTAACCATTATCTGTTTTGTTTTTCAGAATGATGACAACTTCTTAAATATTATTTATGAAGCATATCTCTTCAGTGTGAGAAAGGCGGCAATGAAAAAGCCCATGTGAAAGCTGATTTTTAAATTAAATTCCAAGGACTTCGTGAATCCAGGGAAAAGTTTCAGTTTCTTTCAAGTAATGTTATGTTTTAAAAACTTCTGTCTTTAAAAAAAATTAAACTGAAATGGATGGTCTTTAGGCACTTTGCATACATGTAGATTTTGCTTATTGGCAAGTGATATGTGATGTATTGAGAAAGAAGAGGTGGGTGGAAACGGRTTGTGCCTTCAGGGAGGGGTCTGTCACAATACTGAAGATTTAATCACAAAATATCTTAAATTATTTTTCTTATATGGGCCCATGCTTATGATTGTTTCTCCTGCRTAAAGCCTCTGATCTCCAAGTACAGTTTCCTTTTTTAAATTATGCTGTGGTTATTCATGGACTGGATATTTTACATGGGTTTTCTCTGAGAGAGATGCCATAAGCAACTTTGGAAACGAACAGTTCCCATTTCTGGACGCATGGTGGCAATGTTGGACTTATTTTCAGCCCCGCGACAATATTGGCAAAATGTTAAAACTGAAAGTTTCCTAAGTAGACTTCCATCACCTCATTTAGTTGTCTGCAGAGCAATTTAGAAACTATTTAGAAGAAATGTCATGACTTTCCCCAAAATTTTTGTAGAAAAATCTTTTTCTATTTTAACAGCAATATTTTTAGCTAGTTGTAGAAAAGGGAYGCTGGAAGGGCTCTGGTGAATTGGGGTGGGAGGGCGGCTGTTTGTGATTATTGCTCTCAGCATAGCTTCAGGTGCCACTGGATTCATGTTTCTATTCCTCAAGAGCAAATCTGCGTTACTATAAGCAGTGTACAGCTTTGTTAAGAGGGAGGCTACCTGGTGTAAAAATCCTACTTTTTGCAGTGTGTTCGTGGAGCACAATGATTTCGTTGATCCATTTCTACAAAAGAAAATAAAATGGACTTATCTCTACTCCGCAATGATTTCATCTTATTATACGACAGACTATGTATGGGTTGCATGTATTAGCTCTTATTTTAACATGTTTGTACACTTGGCAGAAAACACATTGGTTTTAAATGATTTTTAATGAGGCTTTAAATYGATTATCATTTAAATTACTGAAAGAAATTGTATTTTTACTAGCATCTGCTGCTAAAGTGCCAGTAAGGAACCCAGTGCCAGTTGCTGAGGAGACATGACTTGCATGGTACAGAGAGCTCAATCTGTAATGCACAAATGAATATCCACCCTGCTTTGCTCTGAGGAGTGCTGTAGGCACAACTCCAGCCTCATCTGTGAAGGAAAGGTCTTCAGGGTGAGTTAGGATGCAGGTTTGAGTGAGTAGAGTTGGAGYTGTTTATACTGTTCCCTGTTCCCCTGTCCTTACTCTGGTAGAAGGGTGATATGGAGGTTTTGGGTTGGGTTTTCTGCTTAGATTTATTGGGAAAGAGTTTAGACTGAAATAAAAGAACACAAGACCTCCTTCCTTGATGCATGGGTGAATAGCAGCATGGGACTCGGGCCCAGACAGCTGGTGGGCTTTTCCTACACAGACTAGCTCAGGGAAAACAAAGGCTTTTCCAGCTCTRTTTTGTTACCAGTTTGCTTATGATCCTTGCAGACTTCATGAGAAGCACATGTTGCACAGATACCACGAAAGACAGATTTTAAAGATAACAAGTCTTAATTCCAGCCCTACGGCCATTATAAATTTATGTGATCCTACTCAGYTAGTTTGAATTACTTCCAAAATGAGCAGGTGTGAAAGAAATTGGAATCTACACAAAAGCATTTATGTGAGATAGTCATATAATATGTATCTTGGATTCTGCATTATTTGAGATGGTAATTTAAAGATGATGGGGACACATAGTCAAGACTTAATTTGACAGGTAGAATTTTTGTAATTGGTGGAAGAGGAAGAGGGAAAAAAAAAAAGATTCCAGCTCATCTCTGAAGCATCTCCAGCTGGGACAGGCTTCATAGTAATGGGAGAAACATTTTTTATTTATAGAAATGCTATATAGACATAGACATTTTAAAAACATCTTTATTGCTTTTCAAGTTAGCATTTTAAAAAATTAAATGCAAATTCTTTAAAAACAGCTGTTAACTCCTGGTGTGTATGACACATGGTCTTCACACTGTCTGACAAACTAGAGCCTCTCTGCAAGCAGGAAGGGTAAAGCAAATAGCTTCTGTTCTCTGCCATCTATTCTGGTTACATCTACAGCAAGTAACACTGACAGCGTTGGTTTTCTCCAACCCTCACTGTGTTTAGTTACAAGGAGTATCTGGGATTGTTCCAGAGGCAAATTACTGTCTTTTAAGTAACTAAGTGCGTTTTAAACTGGCTTGCACACTTACAGAGCACAACAGAGATAAGAAGGTAAAATGAAATGCAGAAAGAAATTAAATTTTATTGACACGTGATAGAAGAAGAGAAATAGAGAACTCTAGAGAAAAATATTTTTTTCAGGCTTGAGTTTCAGACYGTGGGATCTGCTTCTTGAAACATGTTTGGGAATTCATGTCTCAGTTTGCAGACACATTGGTGTATAAAACTGTGACATGCCCCCTTCTTTTTTCCTATTGCAAACTGAAGTGTCTATCCCAGAAAAAAAGTTTTTTTTCCTGAAATAGAGTCAGAGCCTTCCAGTACCACAAAAAAAAGCTGGAGGATCCTCCTGCATTACTGAAAACTTCATCCSTGCATTTTTGTATTGTGTTTTGCATAATAGCTTTTTGTATCAGCTGGGAATTTACCTTTCTGCATCCATGTCTTTGCAGTGCACAGGACAATTTGTAGATCACCTCTGAACTAGTGTATTTCTGAACATTACGATTCTCTGAGCTAATTTAGCTTTAAGATGATAATAGATTTGGGGAGCCCTTAAATCAACAGGGTCTTCAGAGAGGAAGAGGCCCCTGCAATTAGGGCTGCTGCTCTTTGGGCCTGATTTTTTCATTTGACTCTTCAGGCCTGATTTTTTTTTTTTTTTAATTTGATCTTAAATAGCACAAAGGATAGCAAGCTGCAGAGCAGGAGGTATGTAGGGTCACATTAACTGTGCTCTAGGCAGTTCACAGTAGGCATGTTGTGGAGGAGGCCAGGGGCTGTACCTGCCAAACTGGTGTGTTCCCCAATACACTGTCTTGGTTTTCGTCTTCTTTTTTTTTTTTTTTTTTTTAATATATAGAAGAATTTGCTTTATGTAATGCGTTAGTCCCAGTCTCAACACTGAATTCATATTCATTTTCAGTGTATTTGCACTTAAGCACTGTCCACTTGCTTATAGGATTCCTTGCTTATACGATTCCTTGCTTATAGGATATATAGGTCCTAGGTCCACTTGCTTATAGGATATATATAAAACTGTAGTTTATATATGAAATTGCAGTGAGAAGATAAGAAGTAGAAAGTAGGTGAAATACGAAAGCATGATCTCTGACTAATTCCAGCTCTGGTTATCATGGAAATACGTAATACTCAGTGAAGCCATCCAAACCTTTCCTGGGGCCCTTCTCAGAAAATTCAAATCCTTTATCTGATTTTTATGCATTAGCTGCCTACTGCTCCTCTATTTACTCCTCATTGTTGCTGTTGCAAAGGGGATAATTAAAACTGTACAGCAAAATAAAATTTTGCAGGAGCAGGATACAGCTGAATAGGCAGGATGTTAGGTCTCCTCTGACAGCCTATTTGGAATATGTTGAGCTTTGAATTTCAATTTTAAGTGCAGTGAGTATTCTAGATATCTATGTCCCTTTAGAATATTAAAATCACAGTTTAATATTTTAGCAAAGTTGGAGATCATTGCTGAGAAAAAGGCAAGATTAGAAAAAAAAATTTAGTAAGCATTTGAGGCTGTAAYGTAGAAAACATGAGAAGTCGGCTTTTCCCAGAAGGATTCCTTAAAAAAAAAGGCAAAATTCTAGTTATTGAAATGAATAATGTACTAAAAAATGAATCTGCAGTCAAACTACAGTAACCTTTACTGCTAGTCCTGACTGAGGACTTCTAAGAGACTCGTAAGACTCCCTGCCTGTTCCACAGTGCTGCCGATATCTGTAAAGRGCTTCCCGTGGCCCCTGGACGTGTAGTGCCCAGCGGAGCTGGGAGCACAGCAGAAACACGTCCTGCGAGACACCGAACAACCAGAGGCTGCAGCTCTGGAAACGCTGTAGCTGGCACTGCTGCAGGAGCAGCAACCCGTCCCAGCCACCACTCTTAGCTGCTCATTCCCACTCCCACCRTCTATCCTTCCTTTTCCCTTTTGTTTTTTCCTTTTTTTTTTTTCTTCTTTAACTTGATTAAGGCAGCTGCACACTGAAATGCATTTCAGAATTATCCAGGTTAAGACGCCTCCCCACTACAAGGCTGGTTTTAAGCTGGATCGGTTCAGTGGGGAGCTGCCGAAGCACCCGCAGCAGCACAGGGACAGAGTGGGAATAAGTGCATGGGAAGTGGGGAGAGGAGAGCAAGGCAGAAGAGCTGAGCTGCAATACTGCCTTAAACTGACCTGAAGCATTTCTGAAACTGCAATCTAAAAGTCTTTCCCCTTTCACTGGTATTAATACTCTGAGACAATACACGAGGAGCAAAATGCAATTTTGGTATCTGCAGTCTCGACTCTGTGAAAAGTTAGGAAGGTGTTTGCAAATACCTCCACAGAGGGTAATTACTATCCGTGAGCCTAATTGCTCTGTGGAGCCAGTGGAAAGACAGGATTCTCCTGAGGACAAGTCAGTAGAAACCTGATTTAGCCTGGGAGATCAGGGAGGCTGCGCTAAAGTTAGCCTTTGCAAACACCTTCCCCCTCCTCCTTGTGCTAAAACAAGCCTGACATCAGAGCAGGTCCCTATTTCTTCTCACAAAACAGCAGATACTTGAATTAATTTCCTTTTTTTTTTCTTTTTTCTTTTTTTTTTAACTTTTTCAGTTTATTGGAGACTATACCATCAAACAAAATGTTCAGCTCTAAGTCAGCCCAACATGGAAGTGAGAGATGCAGGGACAATTGAAGTCCAGCATCTCTTTGTGGTTAGCTGAGAATACTACTGAGATAAACAGGAAATAAGCACCAAAAAGATAAAGGGGAGAGGAAGACAAAATCTTAGGTAAATTTATGTAATAATATCTAGAGAAAGCATGCCCAGTGTATGAGCACCTTTATCGTGTAGCTGTTACAGGAAGACCTCTTGTATCTCCATGTATCTTCCTTTTGAAAACTGAGCAACATCATAAAAACTCCCACAGAACGAATTTAGAACAAACATCTGGTGTACAGAATGGCAAGTCACTGTGTATTTGGTGGGAGCAGCAACTTCAGTCACTTGTGTAACCAAAAAAAAAATTTTTTTTTGAAACTCTTTTGGACGTGTATTAGTTAAAAGCCTTTTCTTATTGTGCTCTGACGTAAATTCTACAAAACTGCAAAGCAAAGCTGTGAGTTCAGAACAACATGTCTGCATTAATAACAGCAGTCAGCAGAGGTAGAAGAAAGAGTAAAACCCCTCCGGGCACGTGATGACTAAACTAAAGTCAAGATATGGGAAGGATCAGAACTTAGCTGACTCTCCAGTAGGTAGGAGCCTGTTTTCAAGCTAGGAAGGAACTACAGGAAATGATGGCAAAGCCCTAGAACCACTGCTGTGTACACAGAGGGGTGCTAATGCTGCCACTGGATGCTCTGTAAATATTAATTCTTGTCTTATCCAAGTACTGACACCC